TTTTAATGGCACCCGACTGAAGGTTTGGTGCCACTAAATGTTTATCTTGATTACCAATTTCTAGTATTAAAGTAACAGGAATGGATGGAAATGCACATTAATTAGATTTTTCTTTTGAAAGTCTTTAGATTGAAACTTGACTATTGGTTTCCATCTTCTTATCTCACTCTCAGAAAGAGAAAGCAAGCAAATAACTATTTCCCCAAATCCTTCCTTTAATTGAAATTTGAGACTTCCTAATTATGTCAGTGAGGGTAGTTGGAGTCACCAGCTATCAGTCTGTGGAAAAATTTAAGGGTGTATCTTACTATTGATCCCATTAAAATACAGTAATTTCAAACTGCATGCACTGACATTTATCCATGTGGTCCACTCAAAGTAAATAGTAATAAAACAAAAATCCCCCAAAACCAATCTATTCCTTCAAGAGACTGTGTCACGTGTGATAGATGAAATCTTGTATCTCCGTTTCAACTTTTTAACAACTTTGTTTTTCATTAACTTCAGTTGATGTTGGAAATAATATAATTTCCAACATCTTCATGGCATCAACGAGAGCACTGTAACAATATAATAAAATATGAAACGGATTGATGCTGGGTTTTTTTTCCTGTTGTTGCTGAGAGTTTCTGGTCACATACAGTTAGTCAATGTTTGTGCGTTTGTGTGTCGGATGACAGGGGGAGCAGACAGCGTTACAGCGGGCTGCCGTGGTGGGAAACTGTGACATCATCAGCGCTCTCATCCAGGAAGGGTGTGCACTGGACAGACAGGACAAGGTGCAGATCAAAAGACATAAACACACACACACACAGAGGCTAATGGCACCTCTATTACAGTCAGTTGGAGGAACGGGGAATTTCAAAGCCATCATAATGACTGCATTAAAGCATCTGATAATCATAGAGAAACCAGTGTGCCTATAATCTGCTTATCCTTAGAGTAGTGTATTTAGAGTCACAGTGAAAAGAGAAATGACCTACAGGGATTATAACCATGAACACTATGACCAGTTTCTCTTCGTGTTTTATGTCACAACATGCTGAAATATGGTGTATTAATTGTGTATTTTAGTAAATACTGTAACTCCTTTACAGCTGACTTATTATGAATGATCACTCTTTCTCTTTATGCCACATCCCAACATCCTGTTTTGAGTGCAAATCCATCAAATCATACTCGTACATAGTTCTGTAAAATGTGGAGAATGAGTGTAGGAATATCAGACTATTTGTTATAAGGTCTGTAGTTTAATAGCCAATGTGGCTATTTACACCATGATCTTTTACTAAACCTAACCAGAGAGTTCTGTTCCCTAAACCTAACCAAAGAGCCACTAAAAAGTAAAAAATAATATGTGAACTTAATATAAAAATTGAAAGTCAGCACTAGATTGTGGTTTCATAAACTATCTCAGGTTGTAACTTGAACCCCAAAATCCTAAACTGGGGGAGGGGTGAGAATAGCCAAAAAGCTTCCATATGACTATTATCACATGGGTGCAAATATACACTCTGGAAATTCAATTTGGCCAAGGTGACATATAAAACATTATTATATACTTTTTGCCAGGACTTATGTCAAAGTACGAGGTAAAACAAGATCTACATATGAAGCCATTATCAATGTACCATAAAGTGTAAATCTACCTATGAACAGCCAGGCTTTCATTTAAAACAAGCCTTTATTCCTAATTACCAATGTGTAATTACATTTTATTTTATTAAAATGCCTCCTGCCTTTCTGATCTGCTTGTGTTTTTAATGAACTGTTGATGCTCAGAGGGCATGTCTTTAATGTGAAACATCTGCAGAATGTGTTAAGTTTGTCTGACAGTAGCTGAACAGCTGTCAAAAAATGGCAAAGTAGAAATGACTGGATGAAATAGTGAATAAAAATAGTATCAGCAGAGTGGTGAGTATGACATGTCTGGCTGGAATCTCATCAATGTACCATTGTAATTCTTCATGGATTCCCTAAAATCTAGACAAAGAGTCTTCATAAATGGAGGTATCTCTAAGATTTGTGTTTACAAACACTCTAAGCTGTCGTTAATGTGTTTTTTTTTGTCTTTTCTCCTGTCAGGATGGCAACACAGGTCTCCATGAGGTGTCCTGGCATGGCTTCAGTCAGTCTGTCAAACTACTGGTGAAGGCTGGAGCCAACGTTCATGCTAAAAATAAGGTGATTCTTCAGTGGCGCTCTCAACTTTCAACCACAGCCCTGGTTAAACGTTTGCTATAAACTTTATTCCTATATTCTTTCAGCTGTCTTTCTTTGCTTCCCATATCTTTGAGAGAAATTCACTAGGACTCATCTAAAGCAAGACTATGATGTTTGAAAGTAGAACTGACACACCCTCTTACAAATGAAAAGTTACATTCATACACAGTAAAGAACACCCTTTCTTGGTGGTCTCATTCCACTGTAATGATATCTTTTAAAGGAACGGACTCGAAAAGGAAATTGTTGAATAAAGGGAAGTTCAATGTGTCACTGTCTTGCAGGGGCCACTTAATATTCATACTTTAGTTGGACAGCCCTTTCTGAAGGGGAACTAAAGCCATTGTATCGCTCTCTTCAAAGCCACCAAACTCCTTTTGACAGAAACGTTAATTTTACCTCATGGAACACAGATTCTGCTCTATGGAGTTGCTGGTTTGCTTGTGTTATTGTGTGACTCATTTTAAAAGGTTACTTTGGATCCAAACTAACATGTTAACTAACCAATAAATGCAGCAGTTGGTTAGTTCTGCAAGGTACAATGAATGAATAAATTGTCTAAGGAGTCTGGAGGCTTTGAAGAGAGCAAAGATGTATGTAGCAATACGTACACAAATAAGAAAGGGGGAGACTCTGACTCTCTCCTCCTCCTGTTTTCAGGCAGGAAACACAGCTCTCCACCTTGCGTGTCAGAACGGCCACGCTCAGAGCTCCAAGGTTCTGCTCCTGGGAGGGTCCCGGCCTGACAGCAAAAACCATGTAAGTCTCCAGCAGGACTCTGGTGGGTTCTTCTGCTGCCAGAGTGAATGAGATGCATTCAGACACAGCCTGGTATTTACATATAGAAGGCAGCTCTCGGCCACTTTATCGCTGTCAGGCAACTGGTGCTTTTCACTCTGGTATATAATATAATGAACAAAGGAGATCGAGGTTAAGACAAGTGGTAGCTTCTGTTCTAGAGGTTTTCTTGGTACTTGTGTTTCCAAAACAAAGACCATTTCTTTGTTTCCCAGCACAAAAGGGCGAATAAATAACAACAAAAAACATCAGCATCGACCAAATTGTTATTTTAAACATCGTATCAGCCCAGAATTTCGGTGCACCCCTAGCTATAACACTAGTGCTAGTGTGGATTGATGTAACCTGCCTCGAGTAAATAATGTAGCCAGGAACTCCCTTTTACACTGGTGTGGAACTGCCTTCCATTAAAGCTGCATTATTGATTTTTATCAACATTTAGCAGCAAAGAGCCAGATGTTTTCTTATAGCGACCACCAAAGCAGATGTGAAAGGAGTACTGGACTGTTACTTCCAGCCAGTGAACATAGTGGTTCCTTCAGCTTAGATCCTGCTTGTTCTTTATACTTCTAACTTCTTACTTACTGTATTTTTCATGGCTCTTTCTTCCTGTTTCCTATTCCTTCATTTAAAATGCTCTTTGTAAACAAACATGCATCTTGACTTCTTCCTTACTCGCTCACATTTGCAGTGGCTTTGAAATCCTGGATGATGGCCTGCTGCCACAGTAGCGTTTACATGGCACAGTAGTCACTTAATTATGAAACACTGTGCGGCACATTTGCACTTTAAACATAATGTGCAGCCCCTCGGGGAAACCATTGTGTCAGCACAACACAAGTGCAGGAGGAGGTTGTTGGTGGTGCGTCTGAGCAGCAGCCTGAGTACTGATTGTTCACTCATGTGCTGACTATAAGCGAGGAGTCTTCAATGTTTCATTCTGATGTTTGTGGCAGGAGGACCAATGCTCAGACATACTGTCATTAACTGGAACAACCACATGGACTCAATTTTTAGAAATAGAAATTAGAAATAAATGAAATTAATAAAAAATATGAAGACTAAATTTGATGAAAAAGGTTAGCACATTTAAATTTTAGGTAAACCTTAATACCTAAAATGAAAATATTTAGATGTTTCTCTCTTAAATGTGACATTTTATACCAGTGTAGCATAATAGGAAAATCACTGTGGTTTTCTCTCCAGCACCTTTTAAAATGTACACAATCAAACATGTAAAATCATTTCACATTCCTCATTTATGCTTGACATCTTCTGAATGTAATTCAATTCTTGTAAAATTGCTAATCTCTACACATTTTCCCAGGCGGGGGACACGTGTCTGCATGTGGCGGCCCGCTACAACCATGTAGCTATGATCCGCATCTTGCTGGGGGCCTTTTGCTCCGTGTCAGAGAAGAACCTGGTGAGCCGTTGACTAACTTGCTAAATACTCGAGAATCCTGTCTTTGGCTACTGTACAGCACGGGCCAATTTGGCACGGGACTATTGATCTGGCTTGTAAAATTGTATTTTGAATTAATTAGCCCATATCACATGAGGAAGAAGAAGTTCAGTTTCCTGCAGTATTTGACACACAATCTTTTGTCCAGAATTTCACTTGTAAATGTGACACATCCAAGTATTCCACAGTTAAAACATGTCATTTATATGATTTGACATTATGTTTGTCATTCTGCAGAAAGCCTCTGGTACATAACATATAAGACGGAAATGTTCATACGAGCATCATACAAGCATCTTGATATTTTGAACAAAGGGTCACATCATCATCTTTTGTTCTGTGTGTGTGTGTGTGTGTGTGTGTGTGTCTGCAGGCTGGGGACACACCACTACATGTGGCAGCTGCTCTGAATCATAAGAAGACAGTACGTCTGCTGCTGGAGGCGGGGGCAGACAGCCGCATCTGCAACAACGTGAGTGCCTGCAGCCTCTTTCTACATCATTAATGATCACAAGAAGTGTTTGTGAACTCACTTTGCCTTTCTTCCTCTTCCAGTCAGCACACATTTCTGTTGTGAATCCTACAGCGCACACTGTCCCTGCCTCCTGCTGTCTATTTAAAGCCGCATTAGTCAACAGTGCACAGTAGTAGAAGCAATACTGTAGGTAGCAGCTAGAAAACCATTTGAACCTCAATAGGCAGAAATACTCTCACACTCTCATGTTTATTTACCTGGCTGCTCTGATTACTGTAAACCATCAGATCTTGCTTTGTCACTTTCAGTTGAAAATCCCCTATCATGATAAAGATAAAGCTGCTGTCACAACTCAACCCTACTGCAGATTTTTTAATCTTTTTTTTAAACTGACCATTAACTGGATTTAAGGATAAAGGCTGTTATAAAGTTTTGATTGTCATAACCCGGCTGTTGTCAAGTGAAAACAAAGCAG